CAATGCTCTCTGTTAGGATTATGAGTATATCTAATCAGTCTACACACTGCATAGGCTATATCAGGCCTTGTAAAATTCATTAAATGCATCACACTCCCAATGATCTGAGCATATTTAGACTGAGCAATTGGGTCACCATTATTCTTTTTCAACTGAGAGTTATCATCAAAAGGAGTGCTCACAGATGTGACATTAAAATATTCAAACTTCTTAAGAAGTCTCTCAACATAATGTTCTTGTGACAACATTATGCCATCTTCTCTCCTTATAACTTTAACTCCCAATATCATATTTACTTCACCCAGATCTTTCATATCAAAATTAGAAGACAAAAATAATTTAGTAGTTTGCACAATATTTAAACTTGTACCAAATATAAGCATGTCATCAACATATAGACATATTATCACATAATCATTGTCTACCACTTTAGTATAAACACATATATCCACCTCAACTGAAGAAAAACCGTCTCTCAGTAAGACTTGTTCAAATTTCTCATACCACTGCTTAGGAGCTTGTTTAAGGCCATAAAGAGATTTAATTAATTTACAAACTTTATTTTCTTGTCCAGGAATGACACGGCCTTCAGGTTGAACCATATAAATCTCTTCTTCTAAATCACCATTTAGAAAAGCAGTTTTCACATCCATTTGGTGGATAAAAAGCTTACGGATTGAAGCTAAGGAAATTAAAATTCGAATAGAAGAAATTCTAGTCACTGGTGCAAATGTATCAAAATAATCTATATCTTATTTTTGAGAAAAACCTTTTGCTACTAACCGAGCTTTATATTTATCTAAAGATCCATCAGGATTAAATTTCTTTTTGAAAATTCATTTACAACCAATAGGATTTGCACCAGGAGGTAAATCAGTTAAAATCCATGTATTATTTTTCTTAATAGAATCAATTTCAACTTTTATTGCCTCTTTCCAATATTTAGCATCTGAAGAAGATATAGCTTTAAAATAATTTGATGGTTCATTATCGACAAGAAATGTTTGAAAATCATTTCCATATGAAAAATATTCTTTCCTAGGCCTTTTACTCCTTCTCAATTCCTCATTAGAGGTAATTTCACTATTTGTTTCAACAGGTGTATGAGAAATTTTATCAGATAGTGGAAAAATATGTTCAAAGAATTCTGCATTCTTTGTCTCAATTATAGTATTGCAATCAAGCACGTCACTTTTTAAAACAAGAAATCTATATGCAGCACTATGTTCAACATATCCAATAAGCATGCAATCAGCAGTTTTAGAACCTATTTTTCTCTTTTTAGGTTCAGACAAAAGAACTTTAGCAAGGCACTCCCACACTTTTAAATATTTCAAGTTAGGTTTATAGCCCCTCCACAATTCATACGGAGTTTTGCCAGTTCTTCTATGTGGTATTCTATTTTGTAAGTGACATGCAGATAAAATAGCTTCACCCCAAAAGTTATCAGGAGCATTAGAACTAACTAACATGGAGTTCATCATCTCTTTCAATGTTCTATTTTTCCTTTCAGCTACTCCATTTGACTCAGGTGAATAAGGCGGAGTTATTTCATGAATTATTCCATTATTTTTCACAAAAATTATTTAAAGATAAATATTCTCCAGCTCTATCTGATCTAATTCTCTTGATTTTTCTACTAAGTTGATTTTCAACCTCAGTTTTATAAGAAATAAAAGTATTAAATGCATCATCTTTATTTCTAAGCAAATACAACGTAGTATATCTAGAAAAATCATCAATAAAAGTTACATAATATCTTTTACCACCTCTAGTCATAGTCTGCTTCAAGTCGCCTAAATCAATGTGAATTAAAGATAACAATTCAGTTTTTCTATTTACGGAAAACAGGTCTTTCTAGTACTTTTAGCTTCAGCACATATTTCACACTTGTTAATATTATTTGAGTCTAAACCAGATATTAATCCTAGTGACTGCATTTTCTTTATATATGTGACATTAACATGTCCTAGTCTAGCATGCCATAGAGAAATAGACTCAACCATATAAGCAGAAGTAGATACATTTCCATTGATAACATCAGAAATATTAAGTACAAAGAGTCCTTGGTTACAATAGCCCTTTCCCACAAACACATTATTTTTGGTCATTATGATCTTATCAGATTCAAATGACACTTTTACTCCGGCTCTTCCCAACAAGGATACAGAGATCAAGTTTGCCCTCATAGTAGGAACATGCAGTACATCAACAAGGGCTAAAGTTTTTTCCGAAGTGAGTTTCAGAAGAACTTTACCCTTACCCAAGACTTTGGTAGTGCTTGAGTCTCCAAGGTAGACTTCTTCTCTATCATCCTTTACAGGAGTATAAGAGGAAAATGCTTCTCGATTTGCACAAATATGTCGAGTAGCCCCAGAGTCTATCACCCATTCTTTTGCATGTGCTACAATGTTTACTTGAGAAATGACAGCTGCAATAATATCACCTCCTTCAGCTAAGTTAGCTTTAGGAGTATTAGTTTTTTCTTTGTCATTTCTTGCTCTGTACTTGCACTGTGAGGCATGATGGCCTGGTTTTCCACAAACAAAACAAGAGCCCTTTTTTCTTTTAAAATTAGGATTTTTAGGCTTGCAACCTTGAGACTTATTCTCGTACCTTTTGCGGTTGTTGTTGCTGCTTTGCACTAAGTTTGCTTTAAGAGCTGTCATCCTAGCTTTGGCGGATTCTTTTCTGTTGGAATTTTCAATTAGGATGTGGGTCACAATTTCCTCAATGGTGAAATCTTTCTGTTTGTGCTTTAAGTTATTTTTGTAGTCACTCCATGAGTCAGGAAGCTTCTCAATTAGCACTCCGGCAGCAAATTTCTCTGGTAAAGACATCCCCTCGGCCTTCAAGTCTTCTAACAATTTTTGAAATTCGTTGATTTGTATGTTCATCTCTTTATCATCTCTCATCTGCCATTGATAAAACTTTCCTACTACAAATTTTTGTTTTGTAGCATTTTCAGCAGTGAATTTTTTAATTAAAGCTTCCCATATAGCTTTTGCTTCTTTATAATTGCAATACACGTCAAACAGTCCGTTAGAAATAGTTTGCAATATTGTATGACGGCATAACTTGTTGGCATATTGCCATGATTCCATTATTTTATTATCAGCGTCTGCACTAGGTTGTGGATGCAGCAGTGCATGTGCAACACCATGGACATCAAGCAGTGAGAAAATATGTTCTTGGCCAGCGTTTGAAATTTTCTTGGCGAAAATTTCAATATTTGACACATCTGGAAATGGTCTGGCATATGGCAGTGCAACTGGGGCTGGAGCAGCGGATGTAACGCCAATATTGGTGGTGTCAGTAGTATTTTCAGCATCAGTGTTAGTTGCCATAGTTTCTTAGAATGTAGAGAAATGACACCGAAAAGTAACGATAATAATAATACTGCAATAATATTATTTGTGAGCGAAAGTACACGAATTGGCTTGAGTCGTGCTGGGCACTGTCCTAAGAAACTATTTCAGCAGTGTGAAATGTCTCTCCAGGATTAAACAAGCCTACTTCTATTAGGGAGGATACAGGAATCAGCAAAATAGTAAACTACAAACCCAACTATTTTAAAAGAGGGAACAAAACAAAGTAGATTATAATTGTTTTAAGGAGGAAGAAAAGGAACGAAAGAGGCAAAGTAAAAAATGTGATGATACATGGCTATTTTGAAGGCCTATTTATAGGCTAATTGAGAGGCTTAGGGCATGCCAAGTGTATGACACTTGTTTTGAACTTCCCATGCAAGTTGCCACATGGATGGACATTTGTCCATTTTTGAGAAATATCACAACAGTTGAAACGATAAAATGCAATATAACTTCTGTATGCTTGGTATCCCATTTTCCTTTGGAAAATCCTATAGAGTTCGTCTTCAAAACATAAGATACAGATTTTGGTGGAGGGATATATCATATATGTGCTTATCGGTTTGGTCATGATTATGTCTAATTCTGAAATAAAGACTGAAATATTCCATAGAGATCCAATTCTAGTTTCCATTTTCAAGTGATGTCCCCTCGTTCTATTTCTTTATTAATCTTTATTTCATTCAATCTCTCGATTGTGGGAAATGGAAAATGTGAGAATCAAAGAATTTCTTTTTCAGTTATTGCTGATCACATTGCTCCAAATTACCAAAGAATATTATTGTCCACCCCTTTTCGTAGCATATGGCAAAGTCTATGATAAGTACACTCAAATGGGAAATTTTAAAAGACATATAGGTTTATGTAAATATATGCATTAATAATAATAATTGAAAGACATAAGAATTTCTATCAAAAAACGTGGTATTTCGATTATATACTTTTGTGAGGAAAATAAATTAAAGAGGAAATCAACGCTGAGTCCAAACTAAAGTGATTTTAAAACATTAGCGGGGCCTCCCTTTTTTTTTTAGCAAGTACAAGGGATCATTTTTCTTATAAAAGAAAACTCATTAAGAAAATAGGTATTATGTGGTATAATAATTAGTAGTACAAAATATATAAATAGCTCTTTTTCGTCTTTTGAATAATCTATTATTCGAAATCTATTAGCTCGATTAATCTAGTTCGGCCAAATAAAACCACTAAGCGAGATAAACGATCTCTATCAAGAGGTTCTGTGTTTGCGGGCTCGAATTTTTAAGAGTTTTGATTAAGTTTTTTCTTAAAAAAAAAAATTTACCATCATATTGCCCTCCTCGGTAATAGAGTACTTTCATTTGATTATTAAAAAAGTACGGAACAGATGTAAAGACTAGAAAAAGGAACACTAAAGTTCTAAAAATGAAGAGTTCTCATATTAAACTTGGCTACGTTCTTAATCACATTCCTTACATACAATATGATTACACTTATTCTGATAATATTTACGCCCAGCTCATCAACAACCAATATGATTTATTCGAATTTTCATCTCACAAACTAAACTTAAACATCAAAATTACGAAAAAGAATCATATAAACCACTAGAAATTAATGTGAATGCATCAGATTCCTTTACATAAAGAGTACTCCACTAGTTAAAGCCTCTTCATATATCTCTCCACATTATGTCCTATAAATATCACCACCCTGGCGTGTGCTCTCCACACTTCTCCATATCCTTAGATATATTAAAAACACAAAGTTATAACTCTTCTCTTTATTTTCTTCTTCTTCCATGGCATACATAACAAATAGCCAAGAATTAACAAAAAATAATGACATAGAGAAACAATCCATGCGAGTAGAACAAAATCTTGATGAGGTTGAGATAGCTGTAGATTACTCCAAAAGAGCACAGTGGCTTAGGGCTGCAGTTTTAGGTGCAAACGATGGCTTACTTTCAACTTCATCTCTAATGATGGGAATTGGGGCTGTAAAACAAGACGCAAAGGCCATGATCCTCACCGGAATAACCGGTCTCGTGGCCGGAGCTTGTAGCATGGCTATAGGAGAATTTGTCTCAGTTTATTCACAATATGACATAGAAGTGTCACAAATGAAAAGAGAAAATAATGCAACTACACATGAATTAGAGGAAAAAAAGAAGAAGTTGCCAAGTCCATTGCAAGCTGCAGCAGCATCTGCTTTTGCATTTGCAATAGGTGCAATAGTGCCTTTGTTGGCTGCTGCTTTTGTGAAAAATTATCATGTGAGGTTAGGGATTGTGGTGGCTGCTGTAAGCTTTGCTCTTTTGGTGTTTGGAGGGTTAGGTGCATACTTAGGGAATGCACCATTGTTGAAGTCTTCATTGAGAGTGTTGATTGGAGGATGGTTGGCTATGGGAATCACTTTTGGACTAACTAAATTAGTTGGTGTTACTGGACTCTATGGTTAAATATTGACCATAGACTTTAATTTGCCTTTACATAAATTTTTTCATTGAAATATATATCAGTACCTAGATTTGTTGTCCCTTTTTTCTTTTTTCTTTTTATAAAGTATAACATGTATTTTTATATAGAATCCGCTTGTTATGCTTTTTACATATACATAGTGTTGAGTGCTCCAAATAATCTGCATTCATATTAATATTCCCAATCCCTTTCTTTTATTTTTTTATTTAATAAAGATGGTTCTCAAGCCAATTTACGTGTATCTTGACTACTTAGATAATTTGTTACTTTTGGATAATTTTATTTAACAAGGCATTTAATTAGGTAAAAGGAAAAAGGTCACCTATATAGTGACAGTTTTTGTCTCTATTGAAATTTTATCTTATATGATTTCTACCACACTTCATTAATCGCTATTAAGCGCACCTTCAAGTGTCCAATCCCTTCTTTTTATTACCAATCTAGGTTTATTTCAGTGACTTTTTAATTTCTCCTTTTTTTAAAACAAAATCTTTGTTGTGGCAAAAGGGGGGGGGGGGGGGGGGGGCTTTTTTCCCACACTAATAGTAAAAGGAACCAAAAAAATTAATCCCAAAGATTACATTGTTTATCGGATGTGACCAAAGGAACAATAACGGACGGTTATAATTACTTAATAATTGGTGTTTTGTTATAAATAGAATTTTATTTATGGTGAATGTCTATATTTAGGGAGATTCTAGGGTTTATTATTTGGTGGCTAAGTCACCCTCTCCTTATAAATAGAGGGTTCTATTCCATTGTAATTCATCCCAAATCAATAAGAATTCTCTCTCTCTACTTTTCTCTGCAATACTATTCTTCTTCTTTTATTGTTTCATAATACGTTATCAGCACGAGACTCTAACCAATTGAGTAGAAGCTTTGGGATTGATCATAAGGATTGTCAATTGTTATATGAATTTCCTTCATGCTTAAATTCTGGATTTAAGGTAAGTATTTTACCGTATTTTTCTCTTTTATTCTATAATTTAATTTTAATACAAGCAAAGACAATAAATTTTGATTACAACTCTAATGGAGTGTGTAAGAAATTATAACCACCCGAAGTGGTAAAATTTTTATTTCTTGCCATGATCAAAGTCATGTATGATCGTGAGCACAAGAAGTGAAAACCTGTCCCATTGAATTTGCTCCATTCTCATTCCCTTAAGAGAATGCGATAGCAATATGTGATAAGTCTGAAAGAAGACAAAATTATTACCGTGAAGGTATCAATGGATGTGGACGTGGCAATAGACAAAATTATAATCGTCATCATTGTGATAATGAGAATAAAAAGGATTCTCAAAATAACCTTCACTCTGTAAAAATAATATTTGTCATCGATTTGACATGAGATTTTATAAAGCGCATATAGATGATTATGGTCCATTCATGATGTGAATGTGACAACATCTTATTTATGAATACATATTCATTCTTGGAAGAATATGAACGCGCTAGTGGTAGTGAATATACCACACTCACCTCTAGAAGGAGGCTTGAGATGATATAAGAAAATAATGTCATTATTATGGCATGAATGGTCATTGGTCACGTACTTATTGTATGCCAAAATATTTTGGCATTGTGATTATTAAAAGACAACAGTAATGCAAGAAACATATCTTGCATATAATTTTGACCATAATCATAATGGTATAACTTTCTCTTTAAAAGAGATATTCACCATATGGATGTTGATGAATATGTGGTAGTACCAAATTAATTGAGAGCTCCGGAAGAGCCAATTATTACTATTTTGGAGAAACACAATTGATTACCAATAAGGTATTGTGTTGTAGTAAGTATCAAAGAAACTTATTCAGTTTCCAAAGTATACGCGAAAGCGATTGATTATATTGAGACTATAAATAAAGGAAAGATTTAATATCTTCTATTACTACAACTTGTAGCGAGGTAATATGTATGTGAAAAGCTATCCGCTTTGTTCTCCAGTTTGTACTACACAAATAAAACCATACCACAATAAAGTGGATGTTTATTGATATAAAAACCCATATCATAATAAACTCGGAGTTTGTTGATAATTACACACGTCATGGTGTAAACCTGAACTTTATCAATATTGATAATTTATTCGGTTGGCATAATTGGTTTAGCCATATTAATTTTAGTATGATGTGCAAAAATAAAAGAGAATTCACATGGGTAAATATTAAAGAACTAGAAAGTTCTTTACGAATTCTCTTACATTACTTGTTCTCATTAATTAATAGACCAATTAAAATTGGGATTCAATCCCATGAATGCTGGAAATATCAAAGGTGAATATGCCATTCACCTGCCATGTATACCACATAAGATGCATCTATGAGATGGTTACATGTGCAATTATTATTAACCCGCAACATGGTGTTTTGCGAGGTAACTTGCTCAATAATATAATTTCGAGCATAATTTCCAGATTTTTTATTCAAGAAGTTCATCTTGATAAGTTGGTTTACATCACAGTTCGTTTAGCAAAATGATTTATTGAGTGCCTCCACTTAATAGCTAAACAATTGCTTATGAGAACAAAGTTATCTATATCAGTTTGATATACGTTATATACGAAAGTATACTATTTTCTTCCCTCACAAGTGGTTCAGGGTCAGGAACCAAATAATTTCATCTTATTATTATTGATGTGCGGTGTATATTATGATTAACACCATAACGCACAAAGATGGGTTCTCAAAGTTGAGGAAACAAGTTAGTTTTTCTAACATGAGGGGGAGACATGATAAACAGTTGAGAAAAAGTTACGTGGAATGAATTATCATTTGTACATCTAGATCCTCGAATAAGATAATATGAACTTGAAGTTCATGAAAAGATAATTCATCTGCAATATATTGCAAAGCATGCTGGGCGCATTTGCTGACCCAAAGAAAGTAACTATATTCTCAATGCAAATGCTCCTATTAAGTCCTAGAAGGACAAAGTCTGTGGTACGCTTAAGGTGTATAGACTAATCGGTTTCAAGTCAATTTCTTGATAAAGAAGATGAGCAAATGATCAAAATGATCATGATAAAGGAGGCAAGTGATCTAGAAGACCACTATGTCATAACACTTCATAAAATCTCATGAGAGATTCAGGTACCTGAATATATGAATGAAGAGATCTTTATGTTATGTCTTTATGAAAAATAAGGAGGTTGGAACCGATATAAAATGTTCGTCGACGACATCTATGGTACCGCTAAATATATATGAGGATCTTAAGTCCGGAGAAACAATTTTGAATAGAATTGGTTTCATATGAAAGACATGTAGTTTTGAACATGTGGTTCAAATACTTGAAAGTATAAAGTCAATGGTATGTGCAATCAGTTTTCGATATCTTGTATATCTAGCATGACATGAAAACTTGATATGCATCTAAAGTCTATTATATGGCTTATATGACTTAACAATCCCTGAAGGATTTAAATTGCTTGAAGCGTATACAATTCTTGATCTTGAAGTACCACATCCTCAGTGCAATTTGTGCACATTTATATCTTGCTATAACTATAAGCATGATAATGTGATAGCGAGGATTTTCAAGGTGCAACATATTCATTGGAGTTAATATGGCAATTTTATTCATCAAATCTCTGCCGACGCCAACCTTCAAGAAGCTAGTGCACAAGATTGAGATGCGAAGGCTCAAGGATGTGAATTGATGCTCTGATCAGGGGGAGTTAATGCGCGTTGCACTCTTTTTCCCTTACAAGGTTTTGTCCCACTGGGTTTTCCTTGCAAGATTTTTAACGAGGCAACCAAAAGGCGTATTATTAGATATGTGTACTCTTTTTCCTTTTCTAGAATTTTTTTCCCATTGGGTTCTCTTTTAATTAAGGTTTTAACGAGGCACATTATCTGTTGAATAGACATTCAAGGGGGAGTGTTATAAATAGAATTTTATTTATGGTGAATGTCTATATTTAGGGAGATTCTAGGGTTTATTACTTGGTGGCTAAGTCACCCCCTCCCTATAAAAAGAGGGTTCTATTCCATTGTAATTCATCCCAAATCAATAAGAATTCTCTCTCTCTACTTTTCTCTGCAATATTATTCTTCTTCTTTTATTGTTCATAATATGTTTCAATATGTTCAACAGTTCAATAAATCAACGAAATAATTTATTTATAAAGGATACAATAAAATGAATTTTTTCAAATCCACTTTGGCATTTGATACTAACAGTAAATGTGACTTTTCATTTTCAAGAAGAAGTAACAGCGAAAACCACACTAGTTATTACTATGCGTAACCGTGATGACTTGTTAATAAATATTTAATGCGAATAGGAAACACTTGAATAATTTTCTTGTTTGCAACAAAGATGCCACTTTCATAGCAAGTCATTTCAATAGTTTAAGGCTAGCAAGTCATTTCTATATCTTCTCTCTACTGCAATTTTTAGGCCATGCATGTTCAATCATTTGCATCATCATACACAAAATAAGAAAACTCTTTTTTTGGTGAATCCATATTAATTACTCTCTCCGGTCCAAAATAAGTGATTTTTTGGATGTTTTCACACAAATTAAGAAATCCACCTTTTAACATTAATTAGTAATAGAATTGACCATATTAACCTTTGCTATCTCACATAAACACTCCTAACACATATTCCAACACTATTTACTCCAACGATAATGTAGGAAAAAAATAATTAATTCATTCTTGAAATCTGAAAAAATCACTTATTTTGGACCACAAGAAAAATGCCAAAAAATCACTTATTTTGGATCGGAGGGAGTATTGATTTGGTTTTGGTTGAAAGTCAAATCTGATTTGCTTATTAGGGAGCTAAATTTATACTGTGAAAGACTAACAATTTCAAACGAATCAAATACGATGGTCTTGATTCATGGAATGATCAAGCAATATATGAGAAATAGATTACCTAAAAAAGTTACTAATACAAATATGTATAATCAAGTGGAAATATCTATAATATGCATTTTGACAAATAGATTTGAGGTTTAGTATGTGATTTAAAGTTTCCTTTGACTGTTCTTTCCAAGTCGTCGACGCAGCATCCTAGACAAATAGAGTTCTG